TGCTTTTGGAGAAAACTATTAAGTCACTAACAAGGAAAATGAACTCAGCATGTTTCACTTCATGAAACTGTATGTCAGATGACTTCCTGGGCAGCAATGAGGAGTTTATGAAGCCCACCAGGAGTTTATGACTGTGCAAGTATGACTGCTGAGTCATGTCAGGATGACAGTTTAACATAAAGCCAGTCATAACAAGGAAAGTATATTAATGATGAAGAACAAACCTTTAAGTTCCTTAGTCTGCTTTAGAATATGAGCGGTTTAATAACTTACTTCTGTACTGGGCCTCATACCCCTTACTTATCCTAAGTAAAGCAGTAACTTTCTTAAATAAATGTTTGTTTGATGTTACTTCATTCATTAAAATGTACTAAACACTACAAGGTAGGCTACTATTGTTACCACGGTTAGTTACTACAGCTAAAGTGATGCAAACAAACATAATGACAGGAAGATTAAAAGCTTCAGTTTGAAGGGGGTTTATTATGGTTGGAATTTTGGCGAAAACTGAGGTTACCATGGTATATACTTGCGTATAAAAATATGAATAAATAAGTAAACATCTTTAAGAACTAACACTACATTGATTTTCCATGCGTTTCTCATCTAAGTCGTTTTGATGTAGCTGTGGACTGAGAACTGTAAGTGCTGGAAATACTTACCCGTGGTTTGTTTCGAGATTTTCCCTCAGTTTCATCCGCGTGATTTATCTCTCAATCTCTCTCACACGAGACCCTTCTTACTTTAGCGGCGCGTGCCTGACACGTGAGGAGGGCGATAAACAGGGACGAGCAAAGGTTTCTGGTTTGGGATCATATTTTGTTGCAGAACAAGATCAACTGACTTTAGATTTAACGACGTTAAGCCGTAATGGACTAATTTGATATTGACATAGAGCTGCTCTCTAAAGTTTCACGGATCTCCACCTTACAAACCAGCCAGCCCTTACGAAAATTAACCATTATTTTATTATAGTAAAATTATAGTAACCATTTTTTTTTT